TCTTATTCTTGATTTGAATGGAGTGCTTCTGGGCAGTGCATTTACAAGGATGACCAGAAATCGGGACTTTAACTTCAGACCACGTTGCTTTGAATTTTTGCAGGTCTGTCTGTCATATTTTGAGGTGGCTGTTTGGTCATCAAAGCTAAGGTATCCGCCAACCTATATTTGAATTGCTTCGTTAACTAGAACTTCCACAAGTTTTTCTGTTATGTTCTTAATTCAAGACAGCTGTGCTTTCTGCAGCCACAACATTCAACCAGTGTTGGACAGTCTATCCAAAAAAATGAATGAACGTTTGGAGCAGAGACTGTTATTTGTTTGGGTGAGATGTCATTCACAAATTACTTCGATTGTGTGTAGTCAGTCCGTGTGTAAGACTTCTCATAAATGAAAGTCGGGAACAATCAATATTGCAGGATCAGTCGCGGTGCACTATGACACAAACCAGCCTTAGGGAAAATCCAGACAAAACGGTGATGTTTAAGGACCTGAAACATGTGTGGGGAGAATATAAGTCGTACAACAGCTCTAACACGATATTAGTCGATGATTCTCCGTATAAATCCTTCCTTAATTCTGTAAGTGCACCATACCCACTGATCGTTATGTTGTATATGTTCCGGTATGCACAAACAACATGATTAGGGCTAACTGTTTCCATATTACTCATTCTTCAGCCATACAATGCCATCTTCCCCACCTCTTATACATGTTACGCTGTAGAAGACAATTATTTGGGTAAGACGCATTTCGCGATGCTTTGAAATGTGGCTTTTGCTACGTTAAGCACAGGGTGAAAGATTGGCCTGACACAAAACTTATTTGCAGATCCTGAAGGAGATTTTGTACGACACCTGAAGAAATTGGCCAGTGCTGATAATGTACAAGATTTCATTAAGCGAAACCGTTTTGGACAATCACCCGTAACAGAAGGCAGTGTGGACTGGAACTTTTATGTTAATGTTGTCAGCAAGCTTGGACTGCAGAACACAGCAAAGCAAGTGACGCGCAAACGGGAAGCCCCAAACAGATATTATCCGGAGGTATCCATTGCATTCATGTTCAGGAATATGTTCACAATATTTCAACACGTCGTTATGATAGCTAAAATTGCGTCTGCTCATATGCACAGACCAAGAAAAAAAGGAAAATTTGAAAGCATGAGGAAGATCATTGTTCACTGTACGGAAGCTTCTCCAAACCATTGGAAGGCGAGTACCTCTCTTCTGATGGGACACACAAGCAAAACTTTTGTGCTTTAGTGACACACTCTGCCTGTCAAATTCATATATGTTGGTACTACTTTCTTCCTTACTTGTGTTTTTGTTTGCAAAGGCCCGTCGCTGAGTTTTTTATGCAAATTCTAAAAATGTCGAAGTTTGGAATGACGTATGTTGTCTTTGATGTTCCGGAATGCACATGAGGAAAAATTATCAGATAATGCCTGTAATTGCTGTCAAATGCAGGATGCGTCAGCCATATACTCCTGCTACAAACGTTGGCACGTAGTGAGTTTAGCCTGTTTTCATTGCAGATGTTTGTTTGGAACTTCTCGTCTAAACATTAAGGATCTAAATGTCACTCACTAAATCTGTCCGTCTAGTTAACCTCTCGGATACGTGCAATACTAACAGTGCGTCAGGGAGCAATGGTTGACATTAATTGAGCTAGGCTCCTTGCTTTGCGTCTGTACCAAAATAAAGTCCAGCAATGGAATCTGTTAACCAACACGAAGTCTGTATGAGTAGTGTATTCCTTTACCTAACCCCTGGTTGAATATGTCATTGGATAGTGAAAATTAGCTGCTGGACTAGGAGCTTAAGATTGCCTCACTTTTGAATGGGGATGTCTAAGCTGCTGACAGGCTCGGAGAACGCTCAAAGTACTTTTGTGGGCCTGTATTGATGCAATCGTTGGACAAATTGGAATACGTTATTGAAGGGATGCACATGACGCAGGCACAGATGTTTCCCATCATGCAAATGGTTTGACGGAACAGGTAACATATCCAGCAGCTTGGACATACCCCTTGTTGGGGATGTGACTTCAGGCTGGAAGGTTGTCTTGCATGAAGAAAATGGTTCAGTCTATTATTGGAATATTGAAACAGGAGGAACTTCATGGGAAGTTCGTGGTTTGCCCAGAGTCGTGTTTGTGTAGACAGTGCAAGCGATGCGTTTATGAGAAATACGGTTTCAATTAGAAAATGTAATTGGCTGGATTCTATGATTCCTGCAGCAAATACTGCGCTCTTGGTTTGGTGTTGAATTCATTGTTAACATGAAATTATTGTTCATTACACCCAGTTCCAAAGCAATTAAATGTCTGGTTTGCGTACAACAGTAGAATTTTGTTAAATTCACACGAATGCAATATTGATAGCTTCGTCGCGACCACCAGTATCTACAGTCAACAGGGTTCTTAAATAAATTTGCCCCGTCACGCGCGAGCACTAGGTTTCTGAATGTACGGTTACATTCCCCTTTGTCTTAAACAAAAATTTAGATATCGCCATCACAGTTCACTTTGGGAGCTTACGAACGAAGAGAAGAGAAAAGAAGAGATAACTTAGAAAAGAAAGAAAAGATGCATATTTCGTTTGGGAGTTCAACGAAAGAAAAGAAAACAAACATCTTTCCCTTATTTGAGAGTTGGAGAGATGTGAAAGACAAAATTTTATGAGAATGCAACTTTACATATTTGCCCTTTCCATTTTTAAATCAAAGTCCAAAGATTAGTTTTCTTGTTCCAATAAATAGAATATTTGAGCAAGACAAATTTCTAAAACGATTGCATATGCATTCCTACAAGGTGAAAATAATAAGTTGCATTTCCAAATAATAAGTTGCTATTTTTTTCTTACATCTTGAGCTATTTGCCCAATTTTATTCAAATGTTAACCTTCAGCTCATTGAGATTCCACATATATATTTATAAATGTATAGATATGTGCATATATTTATAATATATATGTGTATGTGGTAATAATATATTATATAATTTACTTATATTTGTTATTATAAATATACTAATATATACTAAAAATTATACTAATTAATATATAATATTCTCTACTATTTAAAAATATTAGTACAATTATATAATGTATTATATAAATATATATTATAATTATTTAAATAAATAAATAAACTAATTCTAAATTTTTTGGGATAATTTCATAAACCAAATCGCGGTCACTTCCGTAATGTATCACTTTCCCATAAAAGACCAGCTCTTTATGACCTTCCTCCATTATAAGAACAAAGCACCCATTTTTCCACCAATACATTTATTTATCGGATAAAATATATAAAAACTCGTTTTCCAATAATGGCTTTTCTCCATTATAACAACAGAGTACCCTTTTCCAAAAAAAATTTATTTATCGAAAAAAAATAAATAAATCAGTTCTCTAATAAAACACCAGCTCTTTATGGCTTTCCTCCATAAATTATCCAGTTCCCATTTTTTCAACGCTAATTCAGGGAGGTTTGTGAAATTATCCTATATAATATATATGTGTATATAATATATTAAATTATATAATTATAATTATATAAAATATTAGTTATGGGTGAAGAACGGAACAAGAGAATTACGGGTGAATTATGGGTGAAGAAGGAAAAATATTAGTTATTGATGAATTATGGGTGAAGAACGGAAGAAAGCCCAGTTTTCTGATTTCTCAACTTGCTGGAAATCCCATAAAGTACATGACACAGGCCACCGACAAAGCTTTGCAGTGCATTTAGAAATTTATTTTAGGATATAGTGGAATAATAAATTTTTGTATCACACAAAATTTAGTTAAAGGCGTTGTGTTATAAAAGTCAACCTCTTTATGCCTTTCTTCCTTCATACAGCACCAGTACCCAAGTTCCTCAAATACAAATTCATTTATCGAAAGCAAAAAAATAACCCGTAGTTCATAAAACAGTAGCTCTTTAAGGCTTTCTTCCGTTAAACTGACACAGTCCCCAACGTGCATCAAATACAAATGTATTTATCGGATGAAATATAGTTAAAGCCGTTGTTGAATAAAGATCAGCTCTTTATGGCTTGCGACCGTGTTACACTGATAAAGTATCCTGCTGCCTTAAACACATGTATTTACCGGATGAAATGTACTTAAACCCGTTGTCGAATAAAAGAGCAGCTCTTTAATTGTAACATCTGTTATAAGTACAAGGTAACCATTCCGTTAAAAAAATATTCATTTATCAGTTAATGTAAATTAAACCCCTTTTCAATAAAACACCGGCTCTTTATGAATTTCCTCCACTATGACAACAGAGTACCAATATCCCATACTTACAAAGTCACTTATCGGATAAAATTTAATTGAACACGGTTTGCAATAAAACACCAGCTATGTATGGCTAATTTATTTGTTCGATAAAATCGGATCGATATTATACTTGAGTGCCATTTACCCGTTAGCATAGAATGCAAAGCAACAAACTAACCTATTGCAGGTTTAAACTCCGTTTTAAGACAATTGTTTCGGATACGTCAACACACCTAATTCATAAACTCTCGCGAAACATATCAATTTAAACGCGTTAATTATTAATTACCACAAATCAAATATTTCAATCTTTTTTCATTTATTTCTAATCAGTGCATACCATGGATCACTGTACGCTAGTCATAACCAACCACAAATCTTCTCTTAACTCCGACCACATGAAGATTGTGGTACTCGTTATCCCCATGGCAAGGTCTCCCCACACCACCGCCGGCGAGTTTGCTCGGTTGAACTTTGCTTTCCCTTCCTCTAATGAAACTCAGATACACACCAACCGCTTGCCTTACTATGGCAGCTTTTGGACTCTCTGTCTCCGTCTTCTACATTTTGGCTACGACGACGTGCATCCGAGTATGACAGCCCCTATTACATGCCCCTTTCCACAAAATGCCGCTACTTTGTCTCTCTATCTTGCCACCTTCATCCAACCTCAACTTTATTCATCTCCAACCTCCTGTGCATGTTCGCTTTCCGCATAATTTGATGACGGACAACGTTGGCATCATCCAGAACCAAAGACAGTGCTACTTTGCGCCGCTCCTGCTCCGAATTGTACTGCACCGATAAATTTGTTACTATCTCCATCGTTCGCAACCAAAGCAAGCAAACACACTTACTGTTACAGCACACGACGCCATTCCTTTTTGCTTACCTGATTCCATTTCCAGCTTCCAATTCCACTTGATAACATATCCATGTACTTCAGCATGAATAACCCACAATCCCACCTGCATTACAAACCATAACCACAAATTTAGACACAACCGTTGCTGAACTATGGAAAAAACTTCCAAACCTATGCAGGTGCAACTTACGCATTCCGTTGCTGTGGACATGTGGCTGCAGCTTTTATTTTGTACAGCCAAAGGCATGACGAATACTGCCCCTCCAAACCATAAGTCAGCGCTGCTTCCAACCTTTCAATCTGGGCCATACAAGAAAAACATATGCGATTTTAAGTTTACTGCCACCAATTGTAAAGGTGATGGTCGTGTTCATGAAATGTTTGACAAACCAACTTAGTTTACCATTGTCTCCACGGAGCTGCGCCTATTCATATCCGTTTGCTCGTGTCCTCTCATTGAATCATAAATTAATACTTCTTCGCTTGCCATGTCCACCACACACATATACCAATGCTCATTGTGCCACATTGGCACGAATATCTGAAGCATAGCAGCGGTTAGTTAGTCATCATCATGGAATCTGTATCTATTCCATTATGCTACATAACAGGGCAGCTTCTCGTACCTTCTCACACTTTTTTATATTACCTCCTACTTTACATTCCTGTAGATATGTACAGTACAGCTCGTCTGCTGATTTGTTGAACTCCAAAATCTCTTGCTACAACACGACAGTAAAATATGATATTTTAATATGAATGTACGTACTCACACCCCCCAACTTTGGCCGAACACTTGTACCTGAAACCAAGTTGGCATGAACCACCATCGAATTGACTGATCTACAGCACGCCTTTGCTGCCTTGCTGTTTTCATCGCACAATAGCAATTTATTATCTGCACCAAACTCAAGTCACATCACTTCGTCCTCCATGAAACAGTCCACATAACACCACCCAATTTCAATCCTCGATTTACTCACATCGCATGCCATGGGTTTTTCAGGAAGCAAGGACCCCATTGCATCCCGACTTGCTGTCTGCCCCTTAATTGACACCAGTACTTCCCTGTCATTACAACAGGGTACATTAATCTTTTCCCTATGTGTATTACGGTTTCATAATCTACAAACTTGATATCATCATTTTCAATGATGAGAGTTAAAACGGCCAGAGTAGGTTCACTCTTCCTCACTAATACAACCAGCAATCACGGTTTCAATGACTCAATCAGTCCTTAGGGTCATTGAGTTAGCCTAAGGCGGTTATGTACTCACCATAAGGGTCATTGAGTTATCATTGTAGTTCCATTCTCAAACTTCTGGAATACTCACCTTTTATTCTATATGCAAGCATGTTACCTACCCTTGCTTTTTATATAAGCAGGCATGATTGACAGCACACAAATTGTAAGTTTTATGCTCACTTGTAAACCAATTTTAACTGCTTCCAAGATTTTCGTTGCTATGCCCTCTCCCCTATGGGGATAATCATACTACATATTTAGTCAACCTTATAATTGCAAATACTTTTCTGTCCCCTTTGCCATTGCAATTTCAAATAAAGGATAAAACAAAATAGAACTGTTGATTTAACAAATCCATGATCCAGTACATACCCTTGCGACAGCTGAGTGTCAAACAAGAACTTCAGTATTTTTGCTCGTCCCTCACTCAATTTTTCGCCGATAGATGCCAGCCTCGTTTCCTGCTACCACAAAAATATGTCATTCATTGTCTATATTTTCCCATACTTTAGTAATTCTGGAACGTTGGAATACTCACCTTTGCCAATAAAGCAACCATCTTCGTTTGACGCTCGTTCATCCCACTGCTATCCATCTGTACATAAAACTACAATTTATACTTTACTTTTCTAATGCTACGAAATACCTTGCCACAAACCGATGCATACCTTTATTCTTTTACCTTGCCTTCTGTTTTGTTTGTCTTCCCACACAGGCTTCTCCGTATTGTCCATCCTTAGTCTCTTTCTACTCCTCCACTTTGTAATTTTCGATGCACTCTTTTCACCCATTACAGTACTATTCGTAGTTACTCTATCATTTTCACTCCTGCTTTTGGACCTAACATCTGGCGTTGTAGGACTAATTTTATGTAACTCACTCCCTCTTTTAACATTACCACGCCAATCGTCCTTCTGCCCACCCTCCACACCAAGTGCCCGGTTTGTTTTGCACACCCTTCCACTTTCATACATGCTCCTCAGCCTTTCAAAACGACATTCAATCATTGCTTCCATTCTACCAATACTATCCTTCACATCTTTATTACCACATTCAATTTCAATCAGTCTTCTATCAATGTCTTCTCTACAGCTTATGTTATTGTAAACTGCACATTGCCCTGTCACTACAAGCCTTCAGTTTTGTACCACTAGTAACGTCACAAAATGCAGATTGCAATTTCAACAACAATTCACACGAAAGGATTTTACATTACCTGTTCCCCAAATATGTGATTCCTCTTCAATAATGCTTTCATTAATCTCGTACCTTCCCCAAAATCTTAGCCTCGGCCTCTTGGCTGGAACTTGCGAAACTCGTCTCACCCTCGATATAGAATCGTTCCAGATAGTAAATCTGCACGGACAAACACGCCTACCATCTTTTACAGGTCCTTTATATCAAAGTTTAATTTCATTATTCCAGCAATTCCTATCTCTAATACAAAATGGTGCGTCTTTCTTATACCATCAACAAAAGTCCACATCCCGCTATTCCGTTGCCGTCTCTATCACGGATGCTCTTCACCAAATTGTCTAGTATGAATTTCGACCAGTTTAAATTTTCCATATTCTCCTCTGTAGCCACTACAGCCACCAGATCCCGGCTCACTGTGTCATCCAAACTTGGTGCTAACAACCTACCAACAACAAACAGTACGAACTTCACTTTGAATTCTAAGCCTTCGTTAGGCAAACTACATATACTGTGCCTCAATTCCTCCACTACAATTTCACCGCTAGTTATTCTGATATTCAATTCTCTTTCCACCTCTGTATCCATCTCTTGCCTTCGCTTTTCGGTTTCAATATCTTTCCACGGCTGCTCAAGCCAAGTACACTTTCCACATCCTCGGCTGTGACCTGTAGACAGTACCCATGAACGTTCAGTGTCCTCCGATCTACATCAAAGTTATCCACCAGCCAGTTCAACATCTCTCCGTCAACCTCTACTCCCTTCACATTCAAAATTGACCCGAATCCAAAGTCTCTGACAGCCTGCTGCTGCTCATCACGAGAGCCAATCCACCATATTCTTCACGGAATGAGTTGAGTGCCTTACCATTGTTTCCGCCGTCCGACGAATGGCCTTCCTTTCACTGCTGCAACTTTTATAATTCGAAGGTGTTCCACTCTCATGCATCAGCGATACTACATTTTCGCTTTCTCCTTCACTATCCCACTGCATATCCGAAGCATCTATTTCGGCCGCCAGCTCCATGACAAATCCTTATCTTCTGCTATTCCTCCTGCTCCGGTTTTGGCGCTTCTTCCTTTCTAATACGCATACACTGTGTAGCTTATCCAGTAAGCTTCACGCCTTCTTTCCCTGCGGTACTTTCCCGTACAAACCCTCACTTTGCCAGTTGCTTAATTTCGACCCCTCCACATTTCACATGCGCGGTTGGAGTCCCCTTCAACGCCTAATAGCTCTTCCGGTTGCATGTCACAAAAGCCCTTTCCACGTGCCCAGCCAACACGCTTCGACTACCGTTTGTGGCCACAAATGCTTGAATGTCTTTTCACTTAACTTTCCACACCTCTGTTTTGACATCTAAACATACCGCAGCAACATCCAGTTTCGGTAAGATTCTCTCAATCATGACAACCTCAAGAAAGACCAATAATTATTCATGCTGCAAGAGTCAAAAAAATTGACGAATTGAAAACACGAGAACCACTCATTGGTACCGTGAATAGTGCCTAAAACTAAGATAACATCAGTAGCATGGTCCATGAGTAGGTTGATATAAGTAAGTGAATAGTGACGCCTTCTCAAGCTCAATTTAACTAGTAGGATATTAGCGACATAACTGTGAGGTCTTGATTAAACTATCAAGTCTCTCCTTTTCTTTTTTCCTTTATAAGGTTTGGAATCATTTTTTATACTAATAATAATGATGATGATTATGATGATGCATTAAAGTCAAAAACATCAATATTTATAGGAAATCCACCTCTATGTGCAAATTTTGAAGTAGGTTTATGTCCCAAGTTTTGTATCTAAACATATATACAAGAATTAGGATAAGAAATCTATTTCTTCAAGAAGCTATCATTTGCCATCGACAAGCTTATTTTTGGTTTGAATTGTAATTTTTTTAGAGCTTTTGTAAAAAATTTATTGTAATACTTTTTAAAGATATATATGTAAGGTAAAAAAGTGATTAAAATATTTGATAAGAAATATTTTCATGAAAATCAAAAAACTTTTTCCACAAAAATGGAATCCAAACAAGGCTAAAAGGATTTAGAATTTCTAAATTCCATTAAGGTTAGAGAACTAGGAAGGTAATGCATTAATTTGCATTCATCACATATTTGATTTTTTAAAAAAAAACCATATTCCATTCAAACCTTCTCCCGCCTCTCCTCTTCTCCAACTTTTTTCCTCCTGTAGTCATCCTCTCATAAACCTTCCTCTAAGGCAGGAAGATCACACCATGGTCTCCCTCCATAAATCCCCGATTTGTTTTTTCTAATAAAGTCTCTTCAAAATTTTTGTAACGAGAGTTTCTATTTTTCTAGGAGTTTTTAGTGAGAAATTTCTTTCTCCTGGGGATCCTATGGAGATTTTTGTATTTTTTTTCTTATTATGGTTAAATATGAATTTATTTCAAATCTGATCGTTAGATCTGAAATTTTCTTGGCTCTTGAATTTAGTTCGACAAATCTATCATCATTATTGGAGGTAAACCGTTGATTAGTAGACCTGTCGATTGCAACATGTATAAAAGGAAACTTAGTGAATTAACTTAGAATATAATTTTGAAATTTTTTATATTTTCAAATCTATTGTATTTGTTAAGTTGCAGATTATAATTTCTAATGCATGTTTAATCTACCACTATGACAGTGACAAATCAAATTGTGCTGGACAATTTTCAACAATCCACTAATGAAATTTGCTTTTTATTAAAACAAAAAAATCATACTCTATTCGGTTTTCACATAATGCATCCAACTTTTTATCGTTATTACACCGCATAACATGGAATGTTTCAAAATTACACAATCTTTCTTACCATCTTT